GATCACCCTGGGCCCAGGATCGGTGTATATGCCTTCTTGCGCAAGGCAGGAGGGCGTATACACCGATCCTGGGCCCAGGGTGATCCTGGCCAGGATCGGTGTTGGTGTATAGTTGGTGCCTTCCTACAGCTCACGGGGAGGACTTCGAGGATGGGTGCCCTTCGGGGTCCGAGGCGGCGGATCTCGCCCGAGCCGGCGCGTCCTGCCGCGGACCTCCCGCGCAGTGCGGGGGGGCTCGTCGACGACGGGGAGCGGAGCTTTCTCGGGGACGGTCGTCCCCGCGAAAGGTAAGGCCTCCTCCTCCTCCTCCTCCTCCTCCTCCTCCTCGTCCTCCTCGTCCTCCTCGTCCTCCTCGTCCTCCTCGTCGTCCTCGTTCCTCTTCCTCCTGCAAATAAGGCCTCCTCATCGCACTCCGAGACGCGTCGGGCCAAGGCGGGCCAGGCGTTTCTCCTGATACTCCCCCACCATGCGTGATCTTGTAGCTTTGCAGCAGCTTCAAGGATAGAGGACGGATTCATTTCAAAGGTGGCTTTCGCTTTCACGGATAGTTTTTTTTTTTTTTTTTTTTTTTTTGTTCCTAGAAGTTTGCAAGAGTTTCACGGATGGATGGCGGGCCCATTTCAGAAAGTGGGTTTCGCTTCAGCGACGCGCGCATTCGCTGCACAAGTTGACAATGGCTTCGCGGAGGGAGGGCAGCTGGCAAGGACTTCACGGATGGAGGGCGGCTCCATTTCAAAAGGTGGTTCTCAGCGCCGCGAACATTCGCTTGAAACCGTTCGAACATTTTCAGGGTTTTATGGGTGACGTCCCAAGGCTTTTTCTGGAGCGATGTAGGTTTGTCAGGGCGCAACAGTCACATCGAGTCACGGTGCTGATGTCCCTGGAATATTTTTTCGGCACGATTCAGGATCGTCCTTCCTGCTCCTCCTCTTCCCCCTCCTGCTCCTCCTCGCCCCCTTCTTAGCATCCTTCTCATTCTCCTCCTCGTTCTGCCTCTCCTCGTCCCCTTTTTCCTTCTCCTCCTTCTCTCCTCCTCGTGGTCCTCCTCCCCGTGCTCCTCCTTCTCCTCCCCGTGTCGATGCTTGCTTGCATCAGTAAAACAGTACATCTTGGACAAAGCGACGCTCAATATTGGAAGCAACAAGTTCCCAGCCCTGGTCCTCAGCAAATGGGTCCTGCGGAACGAAGAAATGCTCCAATGCAGGCTCGATGAGTTTGAGCACTCTCCCTCTACAATACTCGGTGATTGCACGAATTGACAACAACCAGCTTTTCCATTGAGTTTGCACAACATGGGAGGGTACCGCTTACTGTATGACGCCTGAAGTACGCTGGTAATGTCGATACCCTCTATGGCTATCTGACTCATGGGTTGTTACAACGACCTTGCGAGCGGTGGCTAAGTATACTGGCTGTAATGAGTGGCGAATCCTCTGTCATGACATTTGCGGGCCTCATCGGCCGACCCCCAAACAGTACTTGTCGAAATGATTGAATTTCATCAGAGAGTTGGCACAACTTCTCGTGCAAATAGCGAAACTACGGATGTCAAGAAAACTCCAAAAAGTGTGAAGGTGCCTGCTTTCAGGCTCCTTGGGATGTTCATTCAAAAAGTCGGTGCGAGTGCTTGCACAGACTGTGCCAAACAAAGTCGTAGTTTTCATGCCGGCATTTGAGAGATCTATTTGCTCCAATTCAGTCAGCATTCAAAATTTGAAACCCCATGGCCATGATTGGGACCTAAGTGCGCGCGGCTTCAGGCGGTCCGTTTTGGGCTGGAGTTGTCGAGCTTGGCTGAAGGTCTGGCACGAAGGGCCCGCAATCACCGCCCACACCTTCCCAGCAAGGTCATCTAATAAAGTTGACACGGCTTGCCGATTGATAGAGTCCCCTCGCACCAGGTCGTTCGCCACATCAACACTGAGAACAGATAAAGCCGTCAACATCCTGACAGAAATATGGTGCTCATTATCGAGTCTCCTGTGACGAGAGAAAGAATGGAACACATAAAGTCCTGGTCCATGGGCGGGGGGCGGGGAACGAACAAAGGTGGGGTAGCCGAAAATTGCGGGCCTTCAAAGTTACTGCGGGCTATAGCCACAACCTTTGGCGTCACACTGTCGCGAGAGACTGAAAGCGTAGGGATACATATCCTGAAAGCCCTACGTCGGGAAAGCTCAGAATAGTGACCTTCACTAGTATTGTTTTTGGCCATACCTTGTTCGTTCTGCCTACGCTGCTCGATCTGCTCGGTTGAAGTCGGCGACAGCCTTGACATAGCATTCGCAATGCACTGGGGCGCACCGTGTCGGAGGTTCTTTAAAAGCATGCGTCGGGTACGAAACTGCATGGCGCATGATGGGCAAACGCTGTCGTCCGCATATGCTCGTGCAGTGTCCAATTCTCGGTGGTTGCGCACTCGATGCACAGCCCACGCTCGAGCATGGTTAAACGCCCTTGGACAGTTGCTGCAGAAACAACGGTCGGCCTGTGGCGGAGATGAACAGTGAGTGTCGTGTGGTGGGGGGGGGTGGAGCCCGGCTCGGATTCTCGCACTACTCAAGTCTTGACGCCACACTATAAATTTCTGTTGGTCCATATTATGGCATCTAGCAGGAGGCTTGAGCTGGTTCATGCACACCGTCCACAGCTAAGATTCTTCTCTAGCCGTCCAAAACCACCACTGCGAAGGGCCCGAGGGAGAATGGGTGAGCGGAAGGGCGTCAGCATCTCGAGCCCACGCAACATTCTTGAGCACATGGTGTGGCCACATACCTTTGATGTTGGAGAAGGCATCCTACAATGAGAGCAAAGGAAAATGGGAACTGCGCAGAAACCGAGGCAAGAGACGCACCCTTCGGAGCCTGCTCACCACATTCAATGGCAGCCTCTTGCTTTTGTCGACAGCGCCGGCTGCCGAGGCGGCCTCCCCTTCATCTCCACGAGCCTGGCATGCGGAGGGCCGCCTTGAATGCCTCGACAGACGCGCTCGAATCGACGGAAAACCTGCACAGGCATTTGTGCCCAAGTTTTGGCACGGTGCAAGATCCTAGTCGTAAAGAGCGAGGCAGCGAGCTTGACTTTGTAGGAAGTCTGAAGTTCCTTGTCGGGAGCGACCGATCTCCGAAGGGGGCCCAAGGACCCCGGGGGCTCCCGAATTCTATAGCTAACTTCATGGCCGTAGGATCACGACCTGTCAATCTGACTCCCTAAGTGCTTGTGCTGGTCGTTTTTGTAAACTTTGAATCAGTCACTGGGAACCTCATACAGGGTGGACCTCATGCTTTCTGAGCCACTCCCAGGACCCTTTACCGAAAAAGCAACCCAGGTTGGCGGATGTCCTTTTCTTCTAGCTGGGGGGGTGAAGCCACGGACAGATCTCTCTATGTACCATCGCCACGCCCGGAGCTTGGGTCGGGAACATCAAACATGGACAGCAAATCGTGTCCTTCTCCTCCTCCTCCTCCTCGTCCTCCTCCTCCTCCTCCTCCTCCTCCTCCTCCTCCTCCTCCTCCTCCTCCTCCACTCCTCCCTCCTCCTCTCCTCCTCCTCCTCCTCCTCCTCCTCCTCCTCCTCCTCCTCCTCCTCCTCCTCCTCCTCCTCCTCCTCCTCCTCCTCCTCCTCCTCCTCCTCCTCCTCCTCCTCCTCCTCCTCCTCCTCCTCCTCCTCCCCCCCGCCCCTCTGCGCTGTGGTGCCCCGCCCTCCCTCTTCGGAGCGTCCACGCCCTCCGGCGGTGCTTTTTCCCTTCGGCGGCAGGCTGGCGGACGCCAGCGGCCCACCTCACGGCGCCCCCTTCGGGCTCCAGCACAGCTCGCAGGATATTGGCTTACTGTGCAGCGGTATTCCCAGACCCCCTCGGGTAATGGAAAAATCATGACGGGAGGTTTTTCGCCATTTTCGGCCTCTGGGGGCCCTCACCGGGCCTCGGGAGCGTCAAAAAACGCCTCAGGAGGACAAACCGGTCCTGGGGAAGGGGTCGAGAACTTTGGGGTCGACGTCATGAAAAATTCATTACGTCGGGGGTCTCGGTATTCTGCGCCTTCGTATTCCGTGAATTTGCCGCGCCGCGAATGCGGCTGTTCTTCATCGAGCCCAGCCGCGAGACATCCGGCCGAATCTTGCAGGGTGCAGCGTCCGCAAACGGTCGTCCTCACGCGTCTCGAAAGCGAGAGCATCGGCATAGGCATACACTCTCGGCGCGCCGCGCGGATTGCTTGGCTCGGCGCCCGGCTCCCCCTGGCGGCGCCTCCGGCGCCGCCCTTGGGGCGCTCATGCGCGCCAGGGAGGTGCCTGCAGGGCCTGGCGCAGGAGGAGGAGGAGGAGGAGGAGGAGGAGGAGGAGGAGGAGGAGGAGGAGGAGGAGGAGGAGGAGGAGGAGGAGGAGGGGACGTGCGGTCCAAGGAAGCTGGCGGAAGGCTGGCGGAGGGCGGCGGGAGCTCTGTCTGTCCGGGCAAAAAGGCGTGTGGGGACGCGGGGCCCCTCGTCGGAGGCGGCCCTCGGCGTTCGTCAGGGTTGCCCGGGCTTGTCCAGGGGTGCCTGGGGTTTGCCCAGGGTTGCCCAGATTTGCCTGCGCAGTGCCAAGCACTGCCCAGCAGTACCAGGCAGTACCAGGCAATGCCAGGCAATGGCAAGCAATGCCAAGCCATGCGAAGCAATGCCAAGCAATGCCAAACCATCCGAAGCCGCGCCAAGCAATGCAAAGCAATGCTTTGCATTGCACTGCTCAGAACAGCTTTGAACTGATATGAGACGAAGGAGACCCCTCCGAATTCGGGGCGCGCCAGATCCATTGGGATGCGGGGATGCCGGAGTCACTCCTCCTCCTCCTGCTCCTGTTGCTCTGCTTCTTCTGCTTCTTCTTCTTCTTCTTCTTCCTTTTCTTCTTCTTCTTCTTCTTCTTCTTCTTCTTCTCCTTCTTCTTCTTCTTCTTCTTCTTCCTCCCACACCTCCTGCTCCCCTCTCGTCCTCCTCCGCCGCAGAGGTGGCGCTCGAGGGGGATCTCGCGGAGCTCTCCTCCGTCGGCGAGCTCTTCGCCGCCCTCGGCGGTCAGGACCGCGCGGACCTGGAGGATCGCGGGGGGGCCAGCTCGCGTCTGCAGTGCCCCGCCCTCGGCGCACCCACAGGGAAGGACCACTCCGGGCTCAGCCTCCAGGACGCCTCGAGGCTCATCGGGGAGCAGAACTGTGCCCAGCGCGCGCACGCGTACATGTGCAGCTTCCCGCCAAAGGGCCTGTCCGTGGGAGCGTCGCAGGACGTCACGGAGCGGGCGGTCGTGAACGTCGACGTGCAGTTGTTCGGCGAGCGGATCCACGGCGAGGGCGCCTGGCTCTTCAGCGCACTCGTTCCACAGGAGGAGGACGTCTTGTGGGTCGTCGAGTACTACGCCGACTGGTGCCCACACTGCAAGGCGTTCGCACCGACGTGGCTTGCGCTGGCAGCCGCCCTTGCCGCGGACAACAAAAAGACGAGGTTTGCCAGCGTCAACTGCGAAGTGCATGAGCTCCTTTGCTCCACCCGAAGTGTCCGGGGCTACCCTATGGTGGAGTGGTTCTACTCGGGATCGGCCCTCAGCCGTGACGATATCCTACGGGCGTGGGGAAGCATGGACGATGCCTCCGACGAGGAGATCATCGTGAAATTGGAGGAGCAGCGGGGCTTGTCCAGAGAAGCGGCCAAGGCGCTGATCAATCAGGCCCGCCAGCATGGCCAGCTCCCGCCGAGGAAGTCGGACCCTGGCTGGCCCAAGGGCGGCCCCTACTCCGGAGAGGTGGCGCACGGCGCCACGTCACTCAAGGGTTTCCTCAAGGGGTTGCCCGCGGCCTACGGCCTCGACGATGGCACCATGGACGCAGCGCTTGCGATGGCAGAGAATGCCGCCACTCTGGACCACTGCCCCCCCAGCCGCCCCATGGCCGACGGCGGCCTCTTCAAGAACAGCGGCTGGCCAGCAGGGGAGCTGGCCGCCACGCCAGAAACTCGCGTGGCAGAGGCGGGCTTCATGCTGGCGTACACGTTAAAGAACTGGATCACCCCAGCGGCGTCCCGTGGGAAGTCGCTCGCTGCCTTCGACTACCACGACATGCGCCACGTCCGGAGTTGGGTGGGGCTCCTTGCCGGGAACTTCCCCGCCGCCCGGGGCCCGCTTGGTGACCTCGCCGCATTTGTCGGCAATGCCAGCAGTGCGGGCGCAGTGTGTGTGAGCGATTGGCACCGCGAGGTCCAGAAGCTGCAGACTCTCTTCGGGGCCGATGCCCCGGTTGGGCCCCAGTACTGCTCCACGGACACGTGCCGAGTCTGGACCCTCCTCCACATCTTGTCGATCTCCCCCGCGACGGGCCTCGAGGGCGCGCTCAGCGCGGAGTCCACCAACGCCGCCATTGCGGACTTCATTGCGACTTTCTTCCGGTGCGAGCACTGCCGAAAGCACGCGGTGCACCATGGGGGGGCCCAAAGGGTCCTGGAGCCACACCGCCCAGTGAATTCGAGGAGGCTCGGCGCTGGCGGACCGCTTTGGGACTCTGTTGTCGTGCTCCCAGCGCGGCCTCGAGAGTCCCCCGGTCTTCCGGTGACGGACCGTCTGGTGAGGTCCGTGGAGTGTCGAAGCTATCGGGTGGGGCCAAGATCCCCGGACCCCTCCCTGGGTCCATGCTGGCCAGTTTTCCGAGCTGCGCCCACTCGTGGCGACAAAAGCCTCCAGAACCGCCCCAAGAACCTTCACAACGACGACGACGAAGACGACAGCGGCGGCGGAGATGGCGATGACGACGACGACGACGACGACGACGACGACAACGACGACGACGAACGACAAACGACGAACAACGAACGGTTGTCGACGACAGCGACGACGGCGACGACGACGACGACGACGACAGCGACGACGACGACGACGACGACGACGACGACGACGACGACGGCGACGGCGACGGCGACGGCGACGGCGACGGCGACGGCGACGACGACGACGACGACGACGACGACGAGGTGGAGCAGTACGGCGCCGGAGCCTACGGGCGCGACGAGCTCATCGCCCGAGGTCGGCCCCACGAAAGGGTGACACTCCGCCAGAGTGACCTCTGGCGTGCGGCCTTTGGTGGGCGCGGGGGGGGCAGACCCCGAGCGTGCTGGCCGCTGCCGCCGCACCGTGCGCGCAACGACCTGCAACCCCGACATCCGACGGTGCGTTCTTTCCAGCGCGCGGCCCCAGGAGGCCCTTTTGAGGAGGAGGAGGAGGAGGAGGAGGAGGAGGAGGAAAAAGAGGATGATGATGATGATGATGATGATGATGATGATGATGATGATGATGAATGATGATGAGGAGAGAGGAGGGAGGAGGAGGAGGAGGAGGAGGAGGAGAGGAGGGAGGAGGAGGGAGGAGGAGGAGGAGGAGGGAGGGAGGAGGAGGAGGAGGAGGAGGAGGAGGAGGAGGAGAGGAGGAGGAGGAGGAGGACAGGGGCCCGTAGCCATTTTGGCTGGCCCCTTCCCTCGGGGGGTAGCTCTCCGCTGCGGATGCACGTCGGATTGCCCCCCCCCCCCCCCCCCCCAGTTGAGATTATTATGTCTAGGACCTGTTAGGCATGTTGTCTCATACGCTAGAAGCAGTACCGTACTGTAACGTACTGGCTCAAGTCAAAGCAGTAAAATATTATCATCTTTATTGCCATTAGTTCATATAGCTTTCGCTTAAAGAACTTAATATTTCCAGTTCAGGATTTTCATCAGAATCTGGAGTTTGGTAGCGGAGCCAGTCGGCTCCCTGCCTTCTGGCTCTCTCTCTGCCGCAGGACATACAGTTACGGCACTGACGACACCTACGAGATTATCATCACCTGGTGTAGTCTGATATTTGGGTTGTTTCAGTATATCAATATATACATTACCAGACACAGAGTTGGATCAAGCACGGTTTATTTTATCTGAAGTTCGGTTGAAAGATGTTGGCCTCACCGCAGACTACCCCACTCTCCCTCAAGCAGTATTCTAAGGACATACCGCCGGGCTGGCGGCCACGGGCATATCCAATTCGTGAGTATCGAGAAGCGCTGGAGATATGGAGTCGACTCACACGGTTGGAACAGGACCAGCTCGGCGCAGCGGTCATGAGCAGACTGGAAGGCCCGGCACTACGAGCAGCTCAAGATCTACGCGTGACGCGACTAGATCAGGCAGGCAATGTTGTGAACTACCGTGGCATCGAGGCGGTCAGTTTACCAAGAGTTGCAGCAATATTAGACGGCCAAGGCAACGAACTCGCCCCACTACAGCACAGTGGAATCAAGATTCTGAATGACAGATTGTTTGAGATGTATGGACTGGACGATCAAGATCTGGCCTGGACCTCACTGGATAGATTCTTCACTTTACGTCAGGGATCCAGTCAGGACTTCATCTCATATCTCTTCGAGTGGGATCACTTATACGAAGAAGCTGAACGATATGGAGGATTACAAATGGGCGAGTCAGCTAAGGCGTGGCTTTTCTGGTCACGGACGACATTCGCTGACAAGACTCTCGCGGATCTACGCTTAAAGGTCAATGGAGATCTCAACAGATGGCGCGAGATGGTTCAATTGCAGTTGAAGGTAAGCAAGAACGAGATGGCAGCCAATGAACAGCACGTTGGATATAAGAACTACTGGGAAGATTCAGACTCCTGGACGAGAGAGTATGAATACGACTACGACAACTACTACGAGGATGATGAGGAGTACTACGACGAGTGGTACGACGAAGAGTATGATGATGATGATGATTGGTATGACGACAATGGAGATCAAGATGGATACGGAGGCGCAGCAGCAGGTGGCACTTCATCATCTCTTCCATCCCCATCGACACCGGACGAGGACTACTGGCAGCATGTACGCGGAAAAGGATCATACGGCAAAGGAAAGGGCAAGGACGACAAAACCGGCAACGGCAAGAACGGCAAGAAAGGAGGCAAGAAACGACAAGGAGATCAGTGTACGCTATGTGGATCAAGATGGCACAATTCTGACACCTGCCCTCTCAAGGGTGATCAGAAAGAGGACAACGCGTATCAGACTGACGAGCAGTATGATGAGGAGTACTACGGACAAGGAAAAGGCTATCGCAAAGGAAATCGCAAAGGTAAAAGACGTGGCAACGGCAAAGGATACGATCGAGATCGGCACCGAGGCTATCAAGACAATCGAGGATCTCACGACCATCATCGACGCGATGTTCCACGTTTCGGCAGAAGCGACTTCCAGCAGCGACAGCAGAAAGGCAAAGGACGTGGCAAGAAAGGATATCGATCAAAAGGAAAAGGCTACGACCAACGACGACAGTTCTATCAAGACACTGATCGCGAAGACGACGCATATGGAAGCTACACGACTTTGCCGGCCATCCATGAACATGAAGAACCAGGCGAACAGGCAGCAGTACCAAATGAGACATCCACGTACGAGCGAGACAAGAACATCATGACACGGGCCCCTTTATCTTCAGGAGCGTGCCAGTTCGTACCTACCTCGACGGCGGCAGAGAGAACACCGACGCGGAAAGGATCAGCATGCGACGACATATTCGGCACCGGAGAGAGAACCACAGTTGGACAGGGACAACCACGGCATCCACCTGGGTTAGGCCCAGCAGCTACGGCGACTGGCGCGACGAGCTCAAGCTTTTCGGCATCATCAAGCGCAGTTTCGGTTTCTGCATCTACTCATACCTGCTACAGATGTTTCTCAGCGGCGATTGCGAAGTGCGGCACGTGTTCCCGTTCGTTTTGCATATGTCACGGATTCAAAGGACACTTGATGGTGATGTGCTCTTCTTGTCTGGATATCTCAGCTGCCCGGCAGCAACAACAGCATCAATCACAGCAAGACGCACAGTCACCAGGGACCACTTCTCAGCAGCAGACCACACCGAGCTCTGATGACACGTCATCAAGTTGGATGTTGATACCTAGACCGGACGAATCACAGATTCAGGACGAGCCAGAGGAGCTTGCAGCATTGCCAGCCTCTGGCAACCCGTTCAAGAACTTGGCGGTCATCAGCGGAGTCAACGTCATCGGCCTCATCGTAGACCCTGGAGCAGCTCGCGGTCTTATCGGAAGTGCTACTCTTCGAGAGATTTTCGACAAGCTACTACGACCTCGCGGCCTGATGAAGCACGTGATGTGGTATCGTTCAAAGAACAAGTTCACGGGCATCTCATCTCAGCCCCAGCACAGCATCGGTATATGTGTATTTCCTATTGGTCTGGTTGGAATGAAGCATGCTTATTTTTCTTGCGATGTCATCGCAGGTCAGTCAGCGAACTGTCCTGGACTTATTCCACTACAGACTCTGCTACGACTCGGCAGCATCATATCGTGCGGACACTTCCAGAATCAAGACGGACTTCTGGGACTGAGACTCGGCAATGGCGAGATGTGCTCACAGAGGATTCTCTTGACGGACTCATCGCACTACTTACTTCCGATCGACAACTTCGACAAAGAAAAGAACGACGTGTGGAACAAAACAGTGCTTCAGCATCAGCAGGAAGTGGACGACGGAGCACATCAGCAAGGACAGCATCATCACGGAGTCACTCTTATATCCATGATCGACGGCAACGACCGAGCACCGCATGAGGACCACGGGACTCATTTTCATTGAGTCCTGGGCACGACGCTAAACTGTTCACTCCAGATACTCTTACCTCATTCTCATCTACAACACGGAAATACTATCGAGATTGGCAAGCTCTTTCTTCAAAGGAATCTTTCTCACTGTGGAACGGCGAACCACTCTTTCCTTTACACCTACTTCCAGAGGAGTTGGCAGTTGCAAGGACCGAATTCAATTCGATTCCAGAAATGTTCTACGCGACCTACACTTGGCTACCGGTCATCACGCCCGAGAACTACGACGCTTTCGAGGCAGCAATGGCCAAAGGACCTTATTGCGGATATCCGATTCTATGGAGTTGGTGTTCAGGTTCATCCCATCTATCTCTCTGTATGGCATCATTACCCTTCTTATGTGCAGTACTTTTCCCAGTTGACCTACGCTACGGATGGGGCCTCAAACATCGACCTCATCAACTCAAATTACAGAGAGCAGACAAGACATTCAAACCAAGAGTTACGACTATGGAACCAAGATGCAAGTATTGGAGTCACATGGGCACTGGACGAGACATCAAGGACACCATAGAGTTACGAGAATCAGAAATGCCCATGTTGAAGTTCATGACCTCACACGCTGTCAAGATCAAGCAGGACTTCAGAGACAATTTTGTTGAGAATCCAAGATCTTCTAGTATTTGGACGAAGTCTCCCTTGGCAGCTCTCCTTGATCATCCAGCTTATTCGAATCAACGTTACAATGCTTGTATGTGTGCTTTCTCCAGTGAAAAGGACGGCCGAAGGAACAAGAAGGACACTACGTTGATTTCGACTTTCTGTCTCAGTCATTCTGTGAAGCGCTGCAGCTGCAAGAAGGAGCACATACGTCTTCAAGGTTATGATAAGGAGACGCATCGCAAGCGGACAGCAGCAGCAGCAATGTTTTCACAGAAGTTCTGTACGGCACTCTGCAAGGACATCTTGGCCCTGGAGTCCAAGGAACCAGGAATCTCCTTCAACAAGTTCTCAAGAGCTTTCCCAGCAGCAGCAGATGACGAGGCAGAAGATGAAGCACCATTAGCTCAGTTACCAGCACCAGCAGGACCTAAGTCCTTAGACGACCTCATGGAAGAATTCAAGGACATCGACACCAAGAGCACCAAGATCACGCTCGACACCTTCACGCCCACGGAAGCACAATGGATCAAGGCAGCGATTCTTTCCATCACCGATTACACTATGAGTTTCGGCGTTCCTGGGACACCTACCGGACGGATTTTGATGTTGCCTGGTACTGGTAGGCCACCACAGGCACGAGTTCTATGTCATGCTCTCAGCCAAGTTTACATGACCAGGACTGTGACATCTCAATGCCATATGTCGGAAGCACACAAGTTTGACGAGACTGAGTTCAGCAATCCTGATGACTACAAAGATTGCATCAGATTTCTAGGCAACAAGGACGGCCACTACCACATGAGCGTAGTCAAGGATTGGAGAAGCGCACCTGAAGACGACATAGACACCACGACGACGATCTACATCATCACTCTCCTCGGCGTTCACCTTTCGGACATTATACTCGACGGTCCTCCCGGCCGACGAGATCAAGCTCGACGACTCAGAGGAAAGCAACCGCGACCTACACATGGACCATATGCTATTCCACCAGAGAGGCCTGGACCACTTGCGGCTTCTACTGACGACGCCATCGAGCCATCGAGAAGATCGAGATCAACGGCCGTGTCTTATCACGGACGAAGCCCAACATGGAACTTCGGGAGCTACCCAAGAAGTTGACTCATGCCAACGAGAAGGATCGTGCCGGACTACTGCGTCTACTTCATGAACGCTTCTGGCACAATTCTCCATTGGACATGATGAAGTTGCTGCAAGCCATGCTCTTACCTCAGGCTATCTTTCTACAGGGCATGGAGATTTGCAAGGCTTGTGAAGTTTGTCAGCAATGGGCTAAACGTCACATACGACCTCAGATTAAATCGTTTCTGGCTACAGTGTTCAACGAGATGGTACAGCACGATTTGTTCTTCCTCTGGGATGAAACGTTCATGATTCTTATTGATGAAGCTACTAAGTGGAAGACTGGCGACCACCTCATCAACAAGACGGGCCCAGTCTTGGTGAAGGCGCTCAACTACCTTTGGATACGCATTTGGGGCGCGATGCAGAACCTTCTCACTGATCAGGAAGGAGGTCTCATGGGACACGAAGCCACCAAGCTATGTGATCGACTCGAGATCAATAGACTGGCTATTGGCAAAGGAGGCGCTACCACCAAAGGACTTGTCGAAAGGCATCTAGCTCTTCTCAAGCTTTCTATGCTCAAGCTCAAGCAGTCAAGTCAAGCAGAAGGATTGGATCTCAGTTACTCCGACATCTGCTACGAGTGTTGCGCCGGCCACAATTGCACTCTCAACTATGGCGGCAGCACTCCACAGTTGGCCTTGACTGGACAACTACCGAGGATGATTGAGATCGACAGCGAGACCATCACGTCCATGACGGGCGCCCTCGAGAAGCGTCCTGACTACATGGAGTCTATGTCACGCGCACGACTACTGGCTCGACAGGCTATCGTACAGTCAGTTATTCAAGATCGATTAGCTCAGGCATCCAAGATAACTCAGCACCAGCACGAGCCGGAACTACTCGTTCCGGGAACGATACGTGACATTTGGCGAGAACCAGCACGGAAAGACGAATGCGGATGGCGAGGACCAGCGGAAGTTATCAGCCTGGAGCGACGCGCAGGATCGGCAATAGTCAAGCACCAGGGCCAGCCGCTTATCATTCCTCTACGACATCTTCGGCGACACGTTCTCACCGAGCACTACATCACGGAGCTCAACAAGAAAAATGACATGAGCATCTTCTACATACACTACGACCTGGTCAACCCTACGATGGTCAAGGCAGCGGCTACCTTTCTGGCACCATATCAGATATATGCCGATGGAGTTTTGGTTCCTTCGGAAACGCTGTACGACCTGATGGACTTAGTTGATGGATCTACGCCCACTAAGATATATTGGTTTGGCTTGGTATGGCAGCAAGAGCAGTATCGATATGTTCCCAGTGAAGAAGCTTGCGATTCATGCAAGCCTTTGGCCCTGGGCATCAAGATATTCAGCGATACGTTTAAGCCTGTGCATGGTATCTTGTACGGCTCACAAGTACGTCGACTTCCTCAGATTGAATATGCACAGTGGGCTTTACTGCTACGCTGGCGACGAGAGGACCGAGCTGACTACAGTATTCGTGTACGACGTCCAGACATAGCTCTTCGCTATACAGCCGAGCAATCTACTAACTACAGCACAATGATGCTCTACAGCTATGACCATTGTGAGGATCTGGACAAGCATTTCGATCCACCAGAGCTGGACTGGAGTGACATCAGCATGATTGACTGGCCTGACGACCTCTCTGACATTGTTATTCCGGATCAGCAGCCACCGCGGGATCCACCAGCACCGCCAGCTCGGGCACCACCAGTTCCACCTTTTCGGTCAAATGCTATACCTCCACAAGAGCCTGGACGACCACCAGATCAGCCATCGCATGGTCAACCCTCGACGGCACCAGCTACGGCAGGCACGCCGCAGCTCAACGTCCCAGGCGACCAGACCATCGACAGCGACGACGACATGGAGGAGATACCAGCTCATGGACATGATCACGACCTACCTCCAGCACCTGGACCAGCACCTCGACGCATCTCTCGAGAGGCACCTATGGGTCCACCTTCGTTGCAGCCACAGCACCGAGACACACAAGGATCAGAGGATTCACTGCAGACTCCAGCTACTCCTGACAAGCTACCTTATATTCCTCTCGACTTGGACAAGTCCAAGACAAGCACGGCGGAGAAGCAGAAAGCAGTCGATCCTCCAGACGCGGCACAGTCACCACCTCAGAAGCGAGGAAGATCATCATCGCCATATCCATGGCCCTCTCCTTGGCAGCCTGAGTCACCACCACGACCACCGACGACTTCTACGGGGAGATATCAACCAGGAGCTTCTTCATCGTCAACGGACTTACCAGCGGCTACGCCGGGTACGTCCTCGACACAGCCAGCTCCAGCGGATTCGACGGAACCACCTATACTTCCCATTCGTAAAGATGAAGTACCAGCAGGAGAGCAACCCTCGACTTCTACTGACAGAACTCTGGAATACAGCGACGACCCAGATGGAGATACCAGAGTCTTATACCAGGAGATGATTGATCACCTTGACATTCCCAAGATTGTCAATCTATGCGAACGACTACCCGACGGAACTCATAAGCAAAGTATGGAAGCAATTTATGACGAGATGATCAGCAACCTTTCAGATGATTTTGATTTTGTATCTCCGACACTTTACTCCGACTCGGACCGGTACTTATACTTCCATTACGATTTGCACGAGTCAATGGTTTTTCGAGTTGATGATTCGACGGCGAACCTCACAGACGACGAGATGAGACGTTTTGCGAAGTTGGTTATTGCAGGAGATCATAAGGAGTTGAAGGCTTTTGTTACTCATGATATTTTCGAACCTGTACTTCGAGACCACCTACCCGATAAGGCGAACATAGTTGATTGCACATGGGTGAGGAAATGGAAGGTCAAACACGTCGAAGTCAAATCACGACTATGCGCTCGAGGCTGTTTCGACCGACAGAAGAACTTTATCGAGAAGCACAGCTCGACAGCGACAATATTATCGCAGCGCTTGGTTTTGAGTTTAGGATGTTGTGAAGGTATTCTACATGTGAACGACGAGAATGACGGCGACGTCGACGCCGAGAGCCTGGATATTTCAACGGCTTTTCTACAAGGACTTGGATATGACAACCTACGAGAGAAAGCGAGGAATCTCGGCTATGAATATCGCGAAGACCGGACAGTCTACATCCTTCCTCCGGAGAATGTGTGGAGTCACTTTCGACGCATGCCGGAGGCATCTTCCAGTTGGAAAGTTGCTGACAGGGATCGACGCAGATATGCCCTCAAATGCTTGAGAGCAATGTATGGTTTCACAGACGCACCATTGATGTTTCAGTTGGCCTTGTTGGAGTTTCTCAAAGATAAGACAGGAGCTAAATCATCGGTTTTCGACGACAATTATCTTTACTGGGGCATCGATTACAAGGGCAATGAGGTGATCGTTTTAGTCATGACTGTTCATGTGGACGACTTACAGATCACTGGCAGCAGATTCTATCGCGATTGGATACACAAGAAGTTGGAATCCAGATTCGGAAAGCTCAAGAGGCAGACGATGCCATATACACATGCTGGCCTACAGCTCGAACGAATTGTACCGACGTGTATACGCATTCATCAAGATCAGTTCACATCATGTCTTTCGCCATGTGTTATACCAAAAGAGCGAGTTGATGTACCAGATGCACCCTGCACGGCAGCAGAACACAAGACGTTCAGATCTCTTACTTGTGGAGCACTCTGGGCATGCCAGACACGACTGGAGGAACTATTCAACGTTGTTTCTCTACAGACCAAGCTACAAAGTCCGACCATCAAGGACCTCCTGGCGATCAACGCAGTGATCAAGAGACTCAAGAAAAATCCCGAGAAGTTTGGCATCTACTACAGGAAGCTCAAGGCACCACTACGGATCTCTTGTATTACGGACGCCTCTTCAGCCAACAAGAACAGCAATTTCGCCACAGAAGGAGTCACGATAGGTCTTCAAGAAGACCGACTACATTTTCCTCTATGTGATCGACAAGATTATCTGCAGGACAATCTGATCAATCGGCTCAGTGGCAAGTTACATGCACTAGTGGTCACTTCGACCAAGTCTAAGAGAGTTTCACACAGCACGTCCCATGCGGAAACGTTGGCAGCAGCACGAGGAGTTCCCATGGCACAGATTATCGGCATGAGGCTCACAGAACCGGAGATTAACATTCTATGCGGACCTCAGAAGCCACTACAGCTTCAAGAACGACTCGACCGAGGGCAGTTGAGTTTACCAGTGGACGCTTTCATTGATTGTATGGACCTGTGGGAGTTATGTTGCGGACTTCGAGGAACACCACAGGACAAGTCACAGCGTTTGGGTATTCTGTCGCTTCGAGAAGAGCGACGAACCCTGAGATTACGACGACTTTATCATGTACGTACCAAGTGGATGGTTTCAGATATGTTGACAAAGTTCGTGGGGGCAGATTCCAAGTCACTCTTGGAGCTGATCACCACCGGTTGTTGGACGATCGCAGGCACACTGCGAGTCAGGCAAGGATTTGGACTAGACAGTACCAAGTCCGACACGACAAGACTATGATATTTCAGTTCAGGATTTTCATCAGAATCTGGAGTATGATCTGGAGTTTGGTTATATGTGAGATGTTATATGAGCAGCTCCACATGTATAGCATTGTTCGACTTCAATTGTGGAGCTAGTATTTGATGTTCACCTTTATCGGCTACCACCTCGAGATGGATTATCATCAGATTTATTTCAATGGATTTATTTCAGTTGATGTATTTCAATGGATTTATATTTGGTGGCCGTGGTGGATATGATAAGCCTGTTATGGCTTACTTAGGACTGCTGTCCTACTCTTCTCCCTTCTCACTCCTTCCTAGGGCCGCTACCGAACTCCAGTAAAATCGACTGGGTTTTAATTTTTATAAGATCCAACATGTCCTAAAGAAAATAGGACCAGAGTTGAGATTATTATGTCTAGGACCTGTTAGGCATGTTGTCTCATACGCTAGAAGCAGTACCGTACTGTAACGTACTGGCTCAAGTCAAAGCAGTAAAAGATTATCATCTTTATTGCCATTAGTTCATATAGCTTTCGCTTAAAGAACTTAATATTTCCAGTTCAGGATTTTCATCAGAATCTGGAGTCCCCCCCCCCCCCCGGGGGCCCCGAGGGCGGCCCCCGGAGGCCGAGGCTGCGCGCCGAGGGCCGCCCTTGCCCCCTGGGTTATTTTTGCTTCGTTCCCCCGACGCTGCAGCTGTTTCGTGGCGTCTGCCTCCCCCCCCTCCTCTTTCTCCTCCTCCTCTCTCCTCCTCCTCCTCCCTCCTCCTCCCTGCTCTCCTCGCCCTCTCCTCCTCCTCCCCTCCTCCTCCTCCTCCTCCTCCCTCCTCCTCCCTCCATCTCTGTCTCCTTCTTCTCCTCCTCCTCCTCCTCCTCCTCCTCCTCCTCCTCCTCCTCCTCCTCCTCCAGGCGGAGATGCGCAACGCGCACCTCCGCCCAAGCCGCGCCCGAGGATGCGCGCGCCCAGGGACCCCGACCACTTCCCTGGCAACCGGCTCTTCGTCCCGAGTCGCCTTTCGACGGGCCCGGGGCCAGGAGGCTCGCCTCCAGAGGCCGAGGACGGAGCACGGCCGGCCCACGAGCCCGGGAGGGGGCACAGGAAGGTGAGGCATGGACCATGGAGGCATGTTCAAGGCGCCTATCTGGGCGACGGGCATCTGCAGTGACGGAAGTGTGTATCGATGTTTCCGTACCGTGCCAGGGGCGATGCGGTGATGTGCCGCGACAGGTCGCAATGCATCCTGCCGCGTCAAGCCGAGTCGTGCTCTGTTCTGTTGTGGAGCCAGTCGCCCTCGGCATGCGATTCTGGACCGAACTGGCGTGCATCGTAAGCTCGAGCTGCCTGAAGGTACAGCTCGCCCAGAGCTGGCTGCAATCGAAGCGGGCGGGGCGCTGGACCAGCTCGAATTCAAGATCCAATTCCGCTCCGAAACGGGACGAACCAAGAGGGGGCGAACCCGAGACGAGGCGAAACGCACGGTGGATGGACATACCGAATTGTGGTGAACCGAAGCGCTGCAAACGGCATCAGGACGAACCGAAAGAATTTTGGCCCACGGGCGTGAGGGCACCGAGTGAAAATGGGCTTTGACCCACGGGCGAAAAACAAAGAATGGGAAAACACGCGTGGTTTGGGGTCACGGGCGAAAGGAACCCATGGACAAATACCTTGTTTGCACTGACGGGCGACAGGAGCCCGTGTGCAAGACGTTGTTTGAGCTCACGGGCGAAAGGAATCTGTGGCGAAAGGAATCCATGGCGAAAGGAATCCATGTAAAAGAACACGGTTTTGAGCTCACGGGGGACATGAGCCCATGTTAGAAACACACTCGGCTCCCTGGCGAAAGGAAACCATTCGAAGCACATGGTTTGAGCCCACTGGCGACAGGAGCCCCTGCAAAAACGCATTGTCGTGGCTCACGGGCGAAAAGAACCCGTGTAACAGTGCATGGTTTGCGTTGACGGGCGACATGAGGGACCCATGTAAAAAAGAATATGGATGAGCGCTCACGGGCGAAAGAGGCCCATGTAAGAGCACACGCTTTGCGCTGACGGGCGAAAGGAGCCCATGTGAAAACACATGGTTTGCGCTGGCGGGCGAAGGGGACCCACGTACAAACACACAGTGCGGGCCCACGGACGAAAGGAACCTATGCAAAGACACGTGGCTTGGGGTCATGGGCGAAAAGAACTTGTGTGAACACGCGTGGTCTGGGCCCACGGGCGGAATGATCCCATGTGATGACCCGCGGTCGTGGGTCACGGGCGACAGAAGACCATGTACAAACACATGTATTCAGTTTCTCCTCGTCCTCCTCCTCCTTCAGCTTCTCCTCCTCCTCCTCCTCCTCCTTCTCCTCCTCCTGCTCCTCCTCCTCCTTCTGGAGCTCCGCAGGTGCAGGGCCCCTGCTCGAGAGTTTCTCGCACGTCGCTCACGAAGGAAGCCCTCGTTCGAGACATCCTCGGGTTCTTTGCTCGCGTGCGAAAGGAGCCCACGCTGAAGTGCATGGCTGGGGCCCACAGGCGAAAGGAACCCGTGTGCAAACGCATGGTTTGAGCTCACAGCCGAAAGGGGCCCTTGTAAAAGCACATGGTCTCGGCCCACGGGCGAAAGGAACCCATGTGAAAACCTGCGTTTCGCTCGAGGCATCCCCAACACATCCTCATGCTAGACATCTGCCTGGGCGATCAGGACGCGTGAAACCAAGCGTGTCGCCCGAGACATCCGCAACAAGTTGTTATGGTAGATATCCACCTGGGCGACCTATGGCGCTTGTTCGAAGCAGGCGTTTCGCTCGAGACATTCTCGAATATTCTGCGACAGCCTCGTGCGGGCACGCAAACTTAAAATATGTTTTACCTGTTCGTATTCAAATTCTTAGTGCTTATGTGTGTATAGATAGAGTCGAATCTCAACGCATCCCTCATGGCGATTCTGCACAAAACGCTCCCAATCTGTTTTTACGGACGAAAGCGGGGGTCTCTGGACCCAGATGTGCATAGTGGATCCGACATGGTGTGTGTGTGTGTGTGTGTGCTCTCTTCGAGTAGACGGGCGCGAAACACATGATCCGAATTGGAACTGGGACGCTGCAATGTCTTTCAGCCACGCGCAGAGGGGGGTGGGGGGAGGGGGAAGGGCTTCTTAGAAGCACCCCTGCTCCTTAGACGGCGCGGGCCTTATCTATAGATGTAAGGCCGGCGCCTTCTGAGAAGCAGCCTCCTCCTGAGAAGCCCTCCCCCCTCCCTCCACCCCCTTCTTGCACGCCGTCAAGTCTTACCGAGCGGGAATATGCTGGCCGTCTTCAAGTCGAGGCCAGGGGGGAACTCACTGTGAAATCGAACCCTGGGCCCAAGCCCTTTCTTCCGGGACCAAAAAAAGCCGGCCGCCGCGATCTTGTTGCAGCCCCCAGCTCGGAGGGACTCTCCGGTGCACCAGCGGCACGCCGAGGGGGGGAGTGCGAGGGGGGGCAGGCCTCCTCAGGAGATGGCGGGGCTTCTCAGAAGGCCTCCGGCCTTCTGGGAAGCCCTCACCCCTTCTGGGCCTTCCTCCTCCTCCTTTTCCTCCTCCTCCTCCTCCTCCACCTCCTCCTCTTCCTCCTGGTCATCCTTCTCCTCCTCCTCCTTCTCCTCCTCCTCCTCCTCTTCCTCACCCCCCCTGGGCGCGCCGGCGACGCCGACGACGACGTCGACGCCCCCCCCCCCCGTGTGCGCGCCGCGGAGCGCAGCGGAGGTGGCGACGGGCTGGCGCTCTACTGGTGGCGCTTCCACAACGCGGTGTCCGTGCGCATCGCGGCAGAGGGCGGCTGCCTCGCGGACCGCCGCTGGCCTCCGCCCGACCTCTGCCCGGAGTGCTGGGCGCAGTCCGACGAGGCCCAGCAGCGCGGCGCGCGTCGCCGCCGCCGCCGGCGTCGCCGCCGCCGGCGGTGCCGCCGCCGCCGTCCTCGTCGTCGCCGGTGCGGAGTTTTTTTTTTTTTTTTTTTTTTGTTTTCTCTGGGCGGTTCTTGAGGTTCTTGCCGCCGCGGCTGAATGCGTCTCGAGAAGCATGATCGACCCACGAACCCGGAAAGGAATATAGAAATGTAAGGCATGGCGGCGTTTCAAAGACACCTGCTTGGGAGACGGACAAGTGCAATGCTGAGTGTATCGATCTTGATGTACCATGCCGAGGGCTGTGCTGTGCTGCGCCGTTCTGACTTGCAATGCGCCATGCCGCGATTGTGCTCTATAGCGTTGTGGATCGAGTCCTCCTTTGCATCCGTGTTCTGACCGAACTGATCTGGAACTTAAGCTCGAGCTGCCTGAGCACATAGTAGCTGCCCCAGAGCTAATTGACAGGGGAACATGCTTATTAGGAGGACTCGCCGCGGAACGTCCCAAGGGACGCGCCAGGCGACGTGCCAGGGGACGTGCCATGGGGACGCACCGCAGGACGTGCCAAAGGGACGCGCTACGGAACGTGCCAATGGACGTGCCGCGGTACGTGCCAGGGGACGCGCCGCGCGACGTGCCAGGGGGACCCGCCACGGGACGCGCCACGGAACGTGCCAAGGAACGTGCCAAGGTGCAATGCTGAGTGTATCGATCTTGATGTACCGTGCCGAAATCTGTGCTGTGCTGCGCCGTGCTGAATTGCAATGCGCCATGCCGCGATTGTGCTCTATAGCGTTGTGGATCGAGTCCTCCTTTGCATCCGAGTCCTGACCGAACTGATCTGGATCTTAAGCTCGCCGGAGCACATAGTTGCTGCCCCAGAGCTACTTGACAGGGGGGCATGCTAGGAGGACGCGGCGCGGAACGTCCCAAGGGACGCGCCAGGCGGCGTGCCAAGGGACGTGCCATAGGGACGCACCGCGGGACGTATCAAAGGGACGCGCTACGGAACGTGCCAATGGACGTGCCACGGGACGCGCCGCGCGACGTGCCAGGGGGACTCGCCAAGGGACGCCCCACGGAACGTGCCAAGTTGCAATGTTGAGTGCATCAATCTTGACGTACCGTGCCGAGGGCTGTGCTGTGCTGCGCCGTGCTGAACTGCGATGTGCCATGCCGCGATTGTGCTTTACATAACGTTTTGGATCGAGTTCTCCCTGGCATCCGAATCCTGACCGAACTGATCTGGATCTTAAGCTCGAGCTGCCTGAGCACATAGTAGCTGCCCCAGAGCTAATTGACAGAGGGGACATGCCAGGGGGACGCGCCGCGGAACGTCCAAAGGGACGCGTCAGGCGACGTGCCAGGGGACGTGCCATGGGGACGCACCGCGGGACGTATCAAGGGGACGCGCTACGGAACGTGCCAATGGACGTGCCGCGGTACGTGCCGGGGGACGCGCCGCGCGACGTGCCAGGGGGACTCGCCATGGAACGCGCCAAAGAACGTGCCAAGGTGCAATGTTGAACGTAACGATCTTGATGTACCGTGCCGACGGCTGTGCTGTGCTGGGCTGTGCTGAATTGCGATGTGGCATGCCGCGATTGTAACGATCTTGATGTAATTACCGTGCCGACGGCTGTGCTTTGCTGGGCCGTGCTGAATTGCGATGTGCCATGCCGCGATTGTGCTCTACATAGCGTTGTGGATCGAGTTTTTTTGCATCCGAGTCCTGCCCGAACTGATCTGGATCTTAAGCTCGAGCTACCTGAGCAGATGGTAGCTGCCCCAGAACTAGTCGACAGGGGGACATGCCAGGAGGACGCGCCGCGGAACGTCCCAAGGGATGCGCCAGGCGACGTGCCAGGGGACGTGCCATGGGGTCGCACCGCGGGACGTGCCAAGGGGACGCGCTACGGAACGTGCCAATGGACGTGCACCGCGCGACGTGCCAGGGGGACTCGCCACGGGACGCTCCGCGGAACGTGCCAGGCAACATGCCAGGCTGCAATGCAATCGGGAATCGATCTTGATGTACCGTGCCGAGGGCTGTGTTGTGCCTGGGCGACCTGGACATGTGAAGACACGCGTTTCGATCAAGACGTTCTCAGCACATCCTCATGCTAGACATCCGCCTGGGCAACCTGAACACGTGCAAACAAGCGTCTCGATCGAGACTTCCTCGACACATCCTCATGCTAGACATCCGTCTGGGCGGCCTGGACACGTGAAAACAAGCCTCTGGTTCGAGACCTCCTCAACAAATCCTGATGCTAGACATCTGTCTGGGCAGCCTGGAGGCGTGAAACCAAGCGTCTCGCTCGAGACATCCTCAAGACCTGAGCACGTGAAAACAAGGATTTCACTTGAGAGATCCTCTGAGTTCTGGTCCCCATGAGAGGACAATCTATGACACAAAACAAGCGTTTCGCTCGAGACACCCTCAACCAATTCTGAACAACAAGCCTTTCGCTCGAGACATCCTCAAACATAATTCCGCCGGCCTCCTTCAAACTCGTCATTTGTCGCAAAATGATTCCGCCAGCCTCCTTCAAGTCGATTCCGGGGGCAAACAGCTAAAAGAGAGACCCCGGGCCCCCGCCCTTTCCGAGAACTAGCCAGCATGGGCTCAGGGAGGGGTCAGGGATCTGGTCTTGAGCGCTGTCCCATCTGGGGGATCGGCCATCTTCGGGACGCCATCAGGGGAAGTGGGAGAGTATTTTCATATTGTGTAATCGTGGAGGAGGAGGAGGAGAAGGAGGAGGAGGAGGAGGAGGAGGTGGAGGAGGAGGAGGGAGGAAAACAAGCAGGTGTTCAGGGTGCGGTCAACAAGTCGACCAGAGGTTGGGGGTTGGCCAGGGGGGGCGCGGGCCTCAGGGAGGGAGGGGTCCGGGATCTGGGGGAGGGGTCCGAGAACTAGCCAGCATGGGCTCAGGGAGGGGTCAGGGTTGGGGGTCCGACGAGGCCCAGCGGCGCGAGTCGTCGCGCCCGCCGTCGCCGCCGCCGCCGCCGTCGCCGTCGTTGTCGTCTTCGTCACCGCAGTTACCGCTGGCCCTCGCCCAACCTCTGTCGATTCCGTCGCGACCCCCTGGCGCGCAGAAGGAGAGGGAGGAGGAGGAGGAGGAGGAGGAGGAGGAGGAGGCGGAGGAGGAGGAGGAGGAGGAGGAGGAGGAGGAGGAGGAGGAGGAGGAGGAGGAGGAGGAGGAGGAGGAGGAGGAGGAGGAGGAGGAGGAGGAGGAGACGGAGACGGAGACGGAGGAGGATAGGAGGAGGAGGAGGAGGAGGAGGAGGAGGAGCAGGAGGAGGAGGAGGAGTTTGAATTGCGACCTGATTCGCCACGGACAGCGGTCAGATAGTGTCGGCACTCAGCTAGCTTCATACACACGAGCAGTCGAGAGCATTGAAGCACGGGCGCCAAGGAGAGTACATGTTCACGGCCCAGCCACCCCATGCTCATCCCCCCCCCCAACGACCACACCCAAAGGTATGACAGCTTGGCGCCGTGCGTCTCAAAAACGACCAGGCTCCGACCCCAAACGGGCGGAGTACATGTCAAGAATGCTCCAATCCAACCCACCAACTGGCCCATCCCCGACCGTATCGCTTGCCGAACAGGCTACGCCATTGACGGTGCACGATCATTGGGAAAAAGAGAGAGGGGAACATATAAAGCAGGAGAGAGAGCAGGTGAGAAGGACATCGTCTCTCAGCGAGTCCGCTGCGGGCACCATCGCGCCAGAAAGCATGGCGGGGCACGCTATTCGCACTCTCGGCCAAGCCGCCCGCGCCTGAGCACCATCACGTGACACGCACTACAAAATGCAGAGAGACGGTCCTGACAAACACATTCCACGGTGTCCGCACACAGTGGGCAGGCAATGCAGTGACAGCAGGAGGCAGCAACCCTTCCCTGCTACCCCAACCCTGCAACAGACCCGACCCTGCTACCGCTTCTCTGCCGCTCGCCGCGCGCGTGGAAGGGTGCGGAGGTGGAGGCAGAGGGGAAAACATGAAGATGATACTCCATGGTCCCGAGGGGATACACGCTCCGTGCCATTTAAGCCATCGTGGGCACCCGTATGGGCTCTACGGGTCTACCCCCTCGGGAAATAGTGCACTGACGGGGCAGCAGACATTCGCCTCTCCGCTTGTCCTCTGCAGACAACACTTCGCCAGCTCGGCGCGGCGGGGCACGCTATTCGTACTCTCGGCCCTCGGCCAGCACGTGGGGTCAAGCATGTGACACCATGAGACAAAGCAGCCGCCCTCCCCTTCTTCCTCAACACTGCAAACCCTGCGACCCAACCCTGCTACCCCTTACTGCCGCTCGCAACACGCATGCGAGGAAGGGAGCAGGATGAGAAGGCAAGAGGAGGACGGGAGGGGCCATGAGAGTCACACCGGCCTCAAGAGGGGACACCTCGGGGCCAGCAATGCTCTCCAGGCTCGCGGGGGACGCCCGCGGAAACTCCCGCGCACCGTCGTCGACACGGGCGGACATCCACATGCATGGTACGTCCGTCGCTGCACTGACATCCGTGTATGCAACCAGTCTGTGCAACTGTGAATCGTCGATCGATGCATGCTGACAAGCCCGCAACAACATTATGCAGAGGCGCATGGAAGAATGGAGACGATGCAAGAAAAGACAAGGCAATTCGCACTCTTCTTTTTACTCTGAGACAATAATTTACGCAAGAGAGCATGCCGCGGCAGGCCTGGACAGCTCATCCACGAGCCTGCTGCAATCTGGAAGTGGATTTCGCGGCAAGACAGCACTGTACGATTGAGCCTGCGGCCCTTGCGGAGGTGACGTGCGTTGGGCAAGAGCCGATCCCCACTGGCGACGTCCACCTCCGCAGGCAAACTCACCCCTGTGAAAACAAGTCCTCCCCATGGCCGTCATGGGATCGTCTGGGGCTTCGATCCCTCTCAACATCTGAACTGCGGGCTGCCTCATCGCGTCCCCTCGGCATCGGGCGCTCTTCTCCAGGAACCACACGCGGCTCCACCCTGCTTGACATCGGTGACGATGCCGCCCCGCCGGCCTCCATGGTTGCCACGATGGTCGGCTGCCCTGGGCCTGCAATGCCCCTTGCCCTCATGGCGCGGCGCTCCTCCTCGGCGGCCTCAGCACGGCGCTCGGCAGCTGCCTTGGCGCGGGCCGATCGGGCAGCCTTCTTGGCCTCCCAGTCGTCGGAAGCCACATCATCATCAGCATCCTCTGGCACAGGCACACCATGCCCGCCATCGACATCTGCCTGTAGCTCTGCCGCGGCACGCGCCTGGGCCTGTGTCAGGATGTGCGCGCCCGACACCACAACGGGCGCGGCAGGGCCTGGCGATGCAACCACCTCCGCCTCCTGCGCTGGCACTGCTGGCGCCACTGCTGCAGGCTGCTGTCCTGTGCCGCGCCCGCTGCGAGCTGCCCCAGCGTCGCCTGCAGCTCGCCCAGCACCGATGACAGCCCCGCCAACTGCTGCGCCATGTTCACCTGGCCCTGCTGGAGCTCCGTGACGTCGGCGACAGAGCTCGCCGTCAGCGCATCCGCTGGGCGGCTCCCCCGCGGCGACGCGCCTGCTGGCGGTGTGGCTGTGCCGGTGTCCCCATTTGCGGCTGCCGTCGGCGACATCATGGCATCGCTGTTCGGCTCTGGGTAGTGCGTCTTCAGTTGGCGTAACAGTAGCTGTGCCGTCGCCAACTCATTGGAACGCTGGGACAGGACGCCGGACTTGTGCACGAGGGTAGCCTGTGCCTCATCGACGTCGTCCTGGGCCCGCCTCATCCTCTTCTCGGCCCGCTCCACAAAGGCACGCTGATGTTGGAGCCTGGCCGTCGGCGATCTGCACACTATGATCATGGTCATGGCGACGGCACGTTCTGCCTGCTGACTACGACCACGCCGTCGTCGTCGATCGGCACGTTCTCCCTGCTGACTGCGACCAGCCGTCCCCCCCGACGATCGGGCACGCCGATCGGACTGCGGGGTGGGCGTCTGCTGTCGCCTGCCTGCCATCTGTGGCGGTGGCCCTGCACGGTCTATCCTGCATCATGTTGGGCTCGCCGCACTGCTCGCACCACCATGCTGGTAACAGCTGCGGGACAGGCACGACCTGCTTGCCCTTGCCCTTGTCCGTGCCGCCGCCTTTACCTCCTCCCCGATGTTGCCACGACATCGAACTGTGACGATCACGTAGCCGCTGCGCCGCGCCGACAACTCGTAGCAGCACGCATGCACTGGCGCGGGTCTGTCGATCACGACGGTGCCTCGCTGGCTCGCCACTACGGCCGCTGGGCCGCGCGTGAGCCCGCGGCGCGCGGGAACCCCGCGGCGTGCCACCCGTCGCAGTCGCGGCCAAGGCCCAGGCCGCCGATCCGCGCAGCGGCGGGCGCGGGCCAGCGCGCGTAGCCGCCCGCCCCTCGTGAGAGGTTCGCTGTACCTGTTACAGCTCCCAAAAACCTCTCGAGCAGGGGCGGCAGCTGAGGAGGAGGAGGAGGAGGAGGAGGAGGAGGAGGAGGAGGAGGAGGAGGGAGGGGAGGAGGAGGAGGAGGAGGAGGAGGAGGAGGAGGAGGAGGAGGAGGAGGAGGAGGAGGTCCTCGGCCAGCTTCAATCCCAAAAGCGTTCCCCGACCCCTCCTGGGGCCCACCGCGGCCAATTCGCGAGCTGCGCCCGGCCGTGGCCACGAGGACCATCCGCGCGGCCTAGGGGGCGGCGAACGACGTCAAAATCTTGGAAGCCCACGCCGCCGCCGCCGCCGCCGCCGCCGCCGTCGTCGTCGTCGTCGTCGTCGTCGTCGTCGTCGTCGCCGCCGCCGCCGCCGCCGTCGTCGCCGCCGTCGTCGTCGTCGTCGTCGTCGTCGTCGCCGCCGCCGCCGCCGCCGCCGCCGTCGTCGCCGCCGTCGTCGTCGTCGTCGTCGTCGCCGTCGTCGTCGTCGTCGTCGTCGTCGTCGTCGTCGTCGTCGTCGTCGTCGTCGTCGTCGTCGTCGTCGCCGTCGCCGTCGTCGCCGCCGCCGCCGCCGCCGCCGCCGTGCTGCCGAGAGGCATGGGACGTCCTCGAGGAGGCGCGGGCGATCTTCGCGGACCGGCCCGGCGGCGCCCTGGAGGCCGGCGCCGGCGCGCTGCCGGACGAGGGCGCCGTGCTGGCGTTCCTGAAGGCGGCCTTCTCCCCGGCGGCGGCGTGACTCCCAGGCCGCCGCCTGCCTTCTTTGGCGGCCTGCGGGTCGGCCCGGCGGCGCGCGCGGGCGCGCCGCCAGGCCGAGGGCGCCGTGCTGGGGCTCGCGAGGGCGGGCCGCTGCCCTCCTGACGGCGGGCGTTTGCTTCGGGCTGCCCCCCGGATGCCAGTGGCCCCCAATCCCGCCCGAATGCCAGTCGGAGGCGATCTCGGGGGCCAACATTTCGGCGCGCGCGCGCGCGCGTGTGTGTGTGTGTGTGTGTGTGTGTGTGTTGCGGCCTCAATTCGCATACAGCGTGTCCCCTGTTGCCAATCCGCCGGAGCAGTCGCCCTCTGCCCAGCCGCCGACGCAAAATGTGTGTGTGTGTGTGTGTGTGTGTGTGTGTGTGTGTGTGTGTGTGTGTGTGTGCGTGCGCTGGAGTAGGATTGAGCCGCCCGACCGACCCGCGCGCTCGCCAGGTCAGCGACAAAAAAGTATGTACGCAGGAGCTTCGGCCTTCCGTTGCTGCTCCCGCTTGCAACGGCTGAAGGGTAGTTAGCTTCTGATGTGCATCCTGTGAGGGACTTCGCGACGGTGCTGACACTTCGCCGGTGCAGGGCCCGCGGCAGATTCGGTCAGCGTCGACGCGGCGGCGGCGCTGGCGCGGGCGCTCAACGTTGAGAGCCGCCAGCGGTCACAACTGAGCCAGCCTTGAAAGATCTTCGCTGCCTGCCACTAGGTGGATATCGTTCAAGCCAGATCGATGCACGCGGTGCCAGAAGCCATAGCCCACGTCGCCACGGAAGGAACCGCCCGCTTAGTGTTTCGAGATCGTTCCCAAAAGCACCCCGGCTAGCCCGAAGTGATACCATCCTGGTTGGCCTTCGGGCGGGGCTCATCGGTCGTGTTTGCGACATGATATGTGACAGCGAGAGCGAAGGTGTTGTCACAGTCAGTGTATCGGTGGCGAGCCCATGGGGGGAAGTGAGACGGGCCAGGCCTCCTCAGAAACTTTGGAAATCCCCCAGTCGTCGGAGAGGTTTCCTAAGCCTTCCCCGAAAACGCAGAAGGCGCGGAGGCTTCAGAGACGTCCCGCCGCCTTCGGAGAAGGCCTTCTCCTTCTCATTTCCTCCCTCGCTCGCCGCCGAGTGTACGTTCCATTCATGCAATCGCGTCGGCGAAGCCACCAGTCGCTCCCTGGAGGGGGGACGCGGGAGCGGTTCATGTTCGCCTGCGGTCGCTTGCAAAGAGTCGGCGTCACCTCCTCCTCCTCCTCCTCCTCCTCCTCCTCCTCCTCCTCCTCCTCCTCCTCCCTCCTCCTCCTCCTCCTCTCTCCTCCTCCTCCTCCTCCTCCTCCTCCTCCTCTCCTCCGCGCATCCTGCGCCTCCTGCTCCGTCCACCCTCCTTCGTCTTTCCGTCCCCCCGCAACCGCCCTCCCCCCTGTCCTTCTTCCCACATCCTAGTCCCCCTTCCCCGCCAAATATTCCAGGATCCCCCAGATACTCCCGACCCACTCCAATAAAGACCAACGAACACCGAAGCATACCTGGTCGTCGTCGTCGTCGTCGTCCTCGTCCTCGTCCTCGTCCTCGTCCTCATCCTCATCCTCCTCTCGCCCCTAGCTCTCTTCTCCCTACGCCTGCTTCTCCTGCTTCCCCATCTCTTCGACCTGCGCCCTACGCGCTCCCTTCGCCTCGTCGTCGTCGTCGTCGTTGTCGTCGTCGTCGTCCTCCTCCTCCTCCTTCACGTCATCTTCCGCCTCCTCCTTCCTCCTCCTGCTGCTCCTTCCCCTTCTAGTCCCTCTCGCGCCTTCGAGGACGACAGCAACGGACCTCCTCCCTCCCTCTCTCTCTCTCTGCTTCTTGTCCTCCTCCTCCAGCTCGCACTGGTGAGCACGGGATTTCTGAAACATCTTCCTCTGCCTCATCCACAATGGTTCGATGTGATTGCGATTTTATTTCTCTCTCTCTCTCTCTTTCTCTTTCTTTCTCTTCCTTTTTCCCCTCTCTCTCTCTCCCCCATGTTCTGTGCCCGACTTTGAGGGGTTCCCGTTTGGTGCTCCCCGTGGGGGGTCTGGGGGGACCCCCCCCCTGGATCTGGCCCCAGCCACGGGGGGAACGCCGGCAGAAGCTGGCAGAAGACGGCCGCTCTCGGCCGGAGTCGGCCCCAATTCATCACTCGCGTCTCCGGGCGGCACGGACGGCCTCAAGATGGTCCGGAAGATGGTCCAAGAGGGCCACGAGTCGCCGAAAGATCGGTCCAGACCGTCCAAGATGGCCGCCTCCAGACGGCCCAGGAAGCCCCAAAGACGCCCCGGGAGGTTTCCAAGAGGCCCCCCAAGAGAGCCAAAGAGTAAAAATTCATGTGGGTCCGACGGTTTTCGACAGTTTTCGCGTTTTCGCCTTTACGACCTCCCGACGCTCCAAGACGGCCCAAGAGGCCCCAAAGATCGCCCCCAAACGGCCGAAGAGGCCCCGAAGAGAGCGCCCAGACGGCCCAAGACGCCCTCAAGACGGCCCAAGAGGCTTCCAAGACGGCCTGAGAAGGCCCCAGGAACGCCCCAAGAGGGGCCCCAGAGGGGGGGCAGGGACCGACATTTTGGATTCTCCGCCCAAAGGACCCCCCAGTAGGCCCCAAGAGGCCCCCAAGAGGTCCCAAGAAGCCTCCAAGAGGTCCCCCGGAAGCCCCCGGAGTCCCCCAAGAGGGCCCCAAGACTGCCTCAGAGGGCCCCGAGGTGGTCGGAGGCGCCCGAGGGTCCGAAGACTGCCCAGCATCAGGATGGTCGGAGCCGCCCCGACAAAGCGGCACAGCGTTCAACAGACAACACGGGAACCATCATACTGCGCCTTAGAGCGGCACAGCGTCAGACAGACAGCACGGGAACCAGCAGCATGCGCCCCTATAGACGTCCTCTCCTTTATGTTTCTCTCTTCCGCGCGAGCTGCGCCCACTTGTCCTCCAAGGTCGGGGTTCGTGGCGGTAGCAGGTTCTCTCTCCCCGTGTTCTGCGCGAGCGGTCTCCTCCGCCCTTGCCCTGTCGCACCAGATTTCAACCATTGATCTGCAATTCTGGTGTTGAGGGTCGGAACGCGTATTTGTTGTTGTCGTTGTTGTTGTTGTTGTGGTTGTGGTTGTGGTTGTGGTTGTGGTTGTTGTTGTTGTTGTTGTTGTAGTAGTTGTTGTTGTTCTTGTTCTTGTTGTTGTTATTGTTGTTGTTGTTGTTGTTGTTGTTGTTGTTGTTGTTGTTGTTGTTGTTGTTGTTGTTGTTTTTATTGTCGTTGTTGTTGTTGTCGTTGTTGTTGTTGTTGTTATTGTTGTTGTTGCTGCTGCTGTTGTTGTTGCTGTTGCTGTTGATGCTGCTGTTGTTGTTGTTGTTGAACATTATTAATTCTAAAGAATAATTATTGTTGGGACCCCTGGTGCACGGCCCCCCCGCCGCGCCTAGGCCGCAGCTACATTTTCATCATTTTTTCGCGAAAGCTTCAGAAAAGTGGATGGGGTCCAGATCCGGTTGTTTTGTTGTAATCCGTTTTCCCTTGCAAAAAACACTATAAAATGACATTTCTTGTTCTAATATAATCAAATTTCAAGAATCCCTTGCAAAAAATAAGGTAAAGTGGACATTCGCGCGCGCAAGACGAAATCCTTCCAAAAGCTTAGTGTTCGGAGCGATTTTAACATAAAAACATCAAAAAACCAATGGTTTTTCAACAAAAAAATGTCAAAATCTCATCCCGCGCGCTCTTGCGGATTCGTAGGAAACCCAACACTTTTTAAACATTTCTGTCAAACGGGCTTTTGCGAGCAACTTTTTCGAACTTCTGCGACAACGGTTGCGCACCTGCCAGGGCCATCATCCCTGTCAAATAATACCATGCGGGACACATTCGTTTTTTCTTCGCGCGCGCACGCCGTCGTCGTCGGCCGCGGGGCCCTGAATAGTAGCCACGGTCGTCCGCATGCCACGAAGTGAAGTGTCCGAACGTCATAGGGCGGGAAGCTGGGTGTGGGTGGTGGCGAAGAGTCGTTTGGAAATTTGGTAGAGCTTGAACCGGCCCCCCCACAAAGTGGGGGTATTGCCCGCCTCCTATGAAAACCCTGGCACTGGTGAGAACGGAGTGTCCCCAGTCTTAAATGATTGTTGTTGTTGTTGTTGTTGTTGTTGTTGTGTGTTTTTTTTTTTGTTGTTTTCGTTGTTGTTGATTTTGTTATTGTTGTTGTTGTGGTGGCTGTTGTTGTTGTTGTTGTTGCTGCTATTGTTGTTGTTGTGGCTGTGGTTGTGGCTGTTGTTGTTGTTGTTGAACATTATTTCTTCTTAAGAATAATTATTGTTGGGACCCCTGGTGCGCGACCCCCCCGCCGCGCCTAGGCCGCAGCCTCATTTTCATCATTTTCGTGAGGAAGTCTCAGGCAAAACGGGTTGGTCCGGATCCGGTTGTGTTGTTACGATCGGTTTTCCCTTGCAAAAAAATCTAAAAGTGGACATTTCTTGTTCTAACATAACCAAACTTCAAGAATCCCTTGCAAAAAATAAGGTAAAGTGGACATTCGCGCGCGCAAGACGAAATCCTTCCAAAACCTTAGTTTTCGTAGCGATTTTAACATAAAAACATAAAAAAAACAATGTTTTTTTCAAAAAAAATGTCAAAATTTCATCCCGCGCGCTCTTGCGGATTCGTAGGAAACCCAACACTTTTTAATCATTTCTGTCAAACGGGCTTTTGCGAGCAACTTTTTCGAACTTCTGCAACAACGGTTGCGCACCTGCCAGGGCCATCATCCCTGTCAAATAATACCATGCGGGACACATTCGTTTTTTCTTCGCGCGCGCACGCCGTCGTCGTCGGCCGCGGGGCCCTGAATAGTAGCCACGGTCGTCCGCATGCCACGAAGTGAAGTGTCCGAACGTCATAGGGCGGGAAGCTGGGTGTGGGTGGTGGCGAAGAGTCGTTTGGAAATTTGGTAGAGCTTGAACCGGCCCCCCCACAAAGTGGGGGTATTGCCCGCCTCCTATGAAAACCCTGGCACTGGTGAGAACGGAGTGTCCCCACGTGCTAGTAATTGTTGTTGTTGTTGTTGTTGTTGTTGTTGTTGTTGTTGTTGTTGTTGTTGTTGTTGTTGTTGTTGTTGTTGTTGTTGTTGTGTGTGTGTGTGTTGTTTCGTGATTATTGTTTGCATTGTGGGTGTGTTCCCACCTC